CATTGTCGCCATCGTTTACTTGGCTGCGTGTTTAGCAACAGGAGAAGGTAAATTTTATGAGATTTTGATGAATGTACTATTTGACATTTATGATATTGTCACGAAGTTGACAGTTAATCATAGATGTGATTACATCAAGAATGTAGGTTATATTTCAGTTTGTGTAAAGTTTAATCAAATTGCTCCAGTCGAAATTTATTCCTTCACATGTATATACCTATATATATATTCTAATCTTGAAATAGATAAGTGATGAATATATCATCAACATAGTATTTCCATGTTATCTTGAACGCATTCAATCCATTTCTCACTGCTCACAATGAAGCATGTTTGAAATAATTATACAGTAGACATTTGTCTTACTTAAGATATCTTGAGGAATAGCAAGTCATATTTTCATCGTCTTTGTTCTATGCGCTATTTAGGAACTTCGGATTTAAGAGATGCATTCCACGTTCACTTTGACTGATGTTGAATAAGACCGTTTTCGTCGACCGTCTGTAGCAAATGAGTCAAGAAACTTTCATCTGAATATCAGATTGTGTTCGAGTTGAGAATGTTGATGAGTATCAGTGTGCAGTGGATTGATTTCATTTGTCGACATTCTTATGCTCTTTTCACTTTCAACGATTTCGTCGAAATCTTGCAAGTAAATTATTCAATCAGACAGTTTAGAAGTGAAGTGTAGTTATGCCGGTGTTCCTACAACCAAGCGATGACAGTCCACATGGATTGATTTTGTCTGAGGAATGTGTGTCTGCATAAGCATGTTTCACACTACAACACCTTGTGGGCATTGCATTCCACTCTCTATGTAATCGTATCAGTTCAGCAGTGGTTTTGTTTAAAGTTTATGGCATTAATTCCATCAAGTTACCTCCTTTTTCACTTCATTTTCATCTTCTCAATGCGAGTGATACATGGACTTGTAAATGAACAGAAACATAATAGCTGAATAAACCACAAGCAGCAAAATAACGTTGAATATTCTTTTCATCTAATTGTCGACATCAGACGCTTATGCGATCCCAGCTGCCTGTTCCACATTGTAGCCTTCACTACTCCTCTTATTAACGTCATGTGCATACACATATTGTGCAGGGTATGTAATCCTCGAGCTAACATATCATGAGGAATGCATACTGAACTAAAATTCCATTTTCGAATAAAACTGTAATTACTATTGTTGTTAGGTATTGTTTAGATTTTTGATGAAAGCAGCAACAGTAGAGAAGTTAATCAAGTATTAGGACGTTATCTGAAATGTGTTCTGACCATTTCTCTCCTTGAGCAACCACATTCAAGTTTAAGAGTTAAGCACAGTGGGTGGTTTGTTCACTTCACTTGTCTTCATAAATTTTCAGTCAAATATTCATCAGCTATGTTTTCTGCAATGGTGGTCAATCCTACTCGTTCGATTGTCTCATCACTTCTTGACACCAGTTTCTGTCAACTTGTGTTACTTACACTTCACCTTCTCTGCTTTCGGCAGAGTGCCATCATTCTGCAATTGTAGAAGTTTCAAATTTCCACATTATCGTTGAATAATTCTGATGAATTCTCAGATGGTCATCTCCCTGATAACTAACCACATTATTCTCAATACTTTGTAAACTTTCATGACAATTCAGTTGAATATTCAACAGGTTGTATTCGATGTTCACCTGTCAGTGATTACCTTTCAGTCTAGAAATAGTAAGAGTGAAAGAGTATTTAATCGAAAAGCATTTGAATATCATCCTGTGAATAGGATTGTGAGACGATGTATTATGAATTGTGAAGGTACACTTGATAAACACAGATCGTTTTGTTGTATTGATGAGACAATCAACCAATGACTGTCAATTTATCTTCTCGAAAATTTCGAGGTTAACATGCAATCCGAATAACATAAGTGAGGGTGGATATTATCTCTGTTGACATTCTGATTTCTGTTTGAGTCTTTGAAACGTTTGGTATTTGATGTGTGATACTCATCAAGTAACACAGTTTAATGAAGCGAAACTGTTTCTGTTCTAAATTCTCTTCATTCTATCTTGTTGGGTGTTTATTCCTAAAATCTTACAGATCATAAGGGCTTAAAACAAAAGATTGATGATTTGGAGAAGAAAGCATTCGGTGAGTTGAACTTTTAGTGTCGTTGTTCATCATTTTCACTGAATAAATGAGTGATAATCAATCATTTTATGAATATACCACGAAGAAGTCAAGCTGTGCTCTTATCCTTCACAGATGAATTCACAGTTCGCACAGCTGACCAGAAACGCTCTGAAAAAAAACTTGATGAAACCATTGGTAAGATATCTTCATTGCAGTCACTGGCATTCCAATGCAAAACAAGCTCAGAGTTGAGTTGGACGAATTTGTCTGTTTCAGAAGTTCTTCACATTTCATATTCATATTTCTAGTTGACCGACTGTTACTCATTCATCAGCCTCTGATTCTGCACACCACCTTTCAAATATCAGACTGTATATAGGCTAATATTAGGCATATTTTTCATTCAGTATTACAATTGCACTTGTCACATCATCAATTATTGTAATTGGATTTCTGTTTAATTCATGAATTGACCCTGCACTTTTATCAAGCTAAAAAATAGTAGTTAGGCCAGAAGGCATATCCCTCTTCATGACCGTATACAGTACTCACAGAAAACAGAGTGTACATCAATGCGTGATATTGACAGTGGTCACAGTCAGATGAAAGATGAATGATACAACATTGTAGTGAGTAAAATACATTTACATGAATGAATACTTTTCAGTCATCACAAGATATGTGAGCAAACATTCACAGTGTGAATATTCAATGGTTGCATTTGAAGATTTCTTCTTCATATCCCAAACCTCTGGCATAAACTTATCGTAATTCGATAGACTAATGGTAGAGAATAAGATATGCGATTGATTCAAGTCAATCTTTATAGTCAGTCTCAGCTGTTCATAACTTCGCTTCTCATCAAAACTCATAGCACTAACTTCTTGACTGTTTATCTTGTTGTTGTTGTTATTGTTGCATGAGATCCCAATTAAAAGATAACAATCTTAAAAACTTCTTGATGTTCCAGAGAACGTCAGGAGAAGGTTAGGCCTTCGAAGTGATGAATTATTATTAAGTAAGCGGAAAGTTCAAAATGAAATTTTATCTCAAAATATTAAGATAAGACATGTCTGAGAAAGGATTATGAAGTATTCAGAGACGTGTATTTTTACAAAAGTTAGTCAATTGATATATCCCAATCAGTTGTTAACATGTATTTTCAACAGTTATTTATTTATTTATTTATTTACTTGACGCTTGAGTTCCTAGTGGAACATAAGGCTTTAGTAGCACGCCTTCATTTCACTCTCTTCTCTGCAGTCTTCTCAACCTGCCTCAACTACTGTCCACAAGCTTTCGTTTCTTCCTCACACCATCTCCTCCTCCATGTCACCCTCAGATGGGACGACCAACTCGTCGTTTCCCCTTTGGATTCCAGTCGTTGTGGTGGGTCTGTCGCTAGCCAACTTCACACATTGTGCGGACATTCCATGTCCCCATTCTTACTTTCGCTTTCATCGACAATAGAAAAGACACATCGATCGATGAGCTTCACAAAGACTTTCACCAACAGGCGTCATTTCGACTCTCCGATTATAGCCAGGAATAGGTTTGTCCTTATTTTTTATATTTTCTTTGTACTTTGAAGTTTGTTTAGCGATTGGATTGGTTTTGCGGTGTAGGGTTGCTAGGCTTATGCCCAGCCCTACCTTCCCTCTCTCTCTATCCGAGCTTATCACCGACTAGAACCTAGTGAAATGTTGAACATGGTGAAGTTGTTTTCAACACTACTTCATGGTAAATCCACAATCTGCCTTTTCCAGACTTCAAAAAGTTGACAAGTCAAGTTGTACTGAGTAAATTATTACCTCTTCGCAACAGCTTTTTCAAACCATTACTCAAATCAAATCTCATTTTCAACACATTAGTTGAGTGTTCCCAACATCACATAGAAATGGTAGTTGTTCTAACTTGAAGTAAGCAAACATATTCACAAAGCTCTGCTTCACCATGCTATATTCATTGTCTAGCCTTTCTCACCGTCTATCACACAGCCAAATTCCCCACAGCGGGAAATCTAACAATTTTCCCAGTTCATCATCACTTCATACTGTATCTGACTGGACGTAGAAAGTGCAACATAGCATTTCGTGTTGAAAACACTTCAAAGAAATACTCAAATGAAGTAGAGTTGGATTTTATCTAGCAATCGTATCTTGCAAGATTTTGTGTCTAATTTTCTTAGATATAAGGTGAAATCTGATTTGTTACTCACCTCACCAGGTCGTGAATATGAAACATGTTTGTAACGAAATTAGAAGACGATTTTGATCTATGCATTTTCTGATTTTCATAATCAATAACAAAACCAGCATTAATGGCTTTGAAGGTGACCTGAGTTCCACGAGCTATAAGTACGCATCATCTATTTGGTTTCACCTCATTAAACACCAAAGTGAATCACTCTGAGCATAATTATATGAGAAGTATCTTCTTAAAGAGCGACTAGGACTTATTGAGAAAACTTTCGACTGGGTATTCATTCAAGTGATGGCAATAAACAGACATGAAAATCTTCTTAATCAATAAATGTATCCAACTGCACAGTATCATTACACCTTCGAAATCATTTTCTTAAAGCCACAATTGTCGTTGTTGTTGGTTTTCACTGTGTCTGCTGAAATATGTTTCAGATGCTTTGAAGGTATTTGAAGATCTCAGGAAGGAACATGGTATGCACCCATACGTGAATGTATGTATTTGCATGTATATATATATATATATATATATATATATATATATAAGTGTAGGTGGTAAGAACTTTTCGACTCATATTGTACAGGTGAAAAGGTGTGTACTACTTCATCTTCGAAGTCGTCTTTCACCATACACGTTTGTTGAAATGAGCACAAACTGTTGAAATATCTGTGCATAATACCTACAAATGTTGTGATATGAATTCTGAAGGTGTAGGTAGATAATAAGTTGAAATGTGATATTGAATATTGTAGCCAGTATATATTTGTTTCATCCCCTAGGCAAACTTTTCGAAGCAGTCAACAAGCTCGAGAATTGGTATAGAAATAAAGTGGAAAAGTTCAAAGGTAAAACATGGCAATGTGGATATGTAAATATCTTAGATTGTATTTGTGTTATGCGACAGAACGATGATTACGATTTATGTGAACGCTTTCCTTTATTGCCAACATGAAAGATATTTGTGAATGTTGCTTTACACTTTACTGGAACTTCACCTATTCATCACACGCCCACCATTTCATATTTCAAACGGAGCATGATCACCTCGATATGTTAATTAGTTCCCTGAAATAACGCCGTTTCAACTGCTTTTCCTATTTCATAGATTTAAAATACCAGGGTCCAGACAAGAAATGTTTCGGTGATTCACTTTCAAAATACCCGAACGGTAAGTACATTCATGCAACCAACCCTTTCTTCGAATATCTTTCAATGTCTTTCTGCACAGATGCAAACCAACAACCATCCTCATGTCATTTGCGAACTTCGTTCTCCATACTGACTGCGTAAATATCAATTTCGTCAGATCACGTAAATGATTTGTGAGAGAGTCGTATTTTACTGAGTATCTCATTGAAAGTGATGGTACAACTCCACTCCATATGATTCATATCAGACAAACAAAACCATTCGTCATACTAACATCATCACTGTTGTGAAGCATGTGAGTGAGAACAGTGATATTCTTGTTTTCAACAAATCATATGTGTTTGCTTTATTCAGAATATCATTGTCTTCTTGGAAACACAAGTATTTTATAGGCAACATCAATATCTTGTTATATGGTCACACTAAGAGAGCAAGGCAACTCACTTTTCATCGTGTTTTTACTTCACATGTGAGACAAAGTGTTATAAGTGACTTTTGTGAATTTTGATTGACATCCACTTCAGTATAATCACTCATCATACAAGGGTTTCAGCAATGAATCGAATTGAGCAACATTGAATGATACATTGTCAGTTGACAAGTGAGAAATAAGGTTGCTCATCATAACCGGCCGAGTATTGGATTTCCTCTGAATCACTGTCTTCTTTTCATCACTTTTCAGAGCTAGTCGTCATTCAGTTTGTCGTATACGCGAAAAACTGGTCGACTTTATTCATCCATTTAGTTGGTGGTAAGTTCGCCTTGCCTATGTCTCCATCGGTGATTGACAATTTTCATAAATATATTGGAAATCAGTGTACACCAGTTACACCCAACTACTTAAGCATATCCCTCCGACTTTCAATTTCTCACCTATACTATCGAATATCTTCAGGATATTCAATATCACATTACATCAATTACGTGTTGATTGTTTCTCATTAGGCAACTGAAATATGATTTATCTCCGATCTTTTTTTCAGCAAAACATGCTGCATATGTCAAAATGGCTCAACATCTTCGAGTGAGTTAACAACACATACGAATTACATGTTTATGTTGTCCGCATTGAAACTACAAATTATTGGTTGTTTCAGTTAACATCAAGCCGTCATGTCCAATGTATGTGTAGCCTATTTCTTATAACTAAAATCTCATTTTCGTGAGGTCGATATGTATGGTGTAAATGATCGAATGTGATTGTTTAAATTTCGCCCAGAATGTAAATGATTATCTGATGGTAGATATTGTCATCTGAGATGTTAGCGAAGTTAATTCGACTGAACATACATACGTATGATTATGGAGAATAGGTGAAATATGTATATTTGATAAAGGCTGTTACCTAGATGGTTGTGTCTGATTGACTTCAGAGGATCCTGTGAATCTCTTTTGCAGTTATCTTACTTTCCTCATGTCTTCTGTCTTCACTTCAATCTTCCACATACTCAGTGTCTGGACAATGTTCGAAAAGACAGAAATTTTCATTTTGCCTACTGTTACTGAGAATGCAGAGATATTTGACTGATCATAGTGAAATTTCGAGTTGGTATTCATTATTGTAGACTGACATGAATTGGAGGAGCAATGGAAACCTGAGAGCACTGGACAGCTATTTCTTCCTTCTTACCACGGGACTCCAATTCATGTCAGTCTACGATGAATACGAACTGGAAATATTTCTAAATGCCCACAATCTCATCGAAGTCCCATGGTGAAATTTGTTCACGTTTCCCAGGTGATCTCATGTTAGTCATCAAATGATCAGTAATTCCACTGAAGTATGCAGGATGAATGAGACAGGCAGGTATAGATTACAACAATAAATTACTCTACAATCCTCTCAGTTTAAACTCACCATTCGTATTTTGTGGAACAACAGATAGCCAATAATTTGTGTATTGTATATTTCCTAACACGTGATGATCAGTTATATGCAGATGATAACTTTGTCATGTGTGGAAATTTTACAACGCCAAATTACCTGACGATATTGTAGTGATCTTCATGAAGATGTAGATTATTCTCCTCTATATGTGGATTGGAAGAGGCTGAATATATATTAGGACAATTTTTTTAAATTCTCCTTGTATGCATTTTGTTTCAGTGAATGACAGGTTTCTTACACATCGGCAAAACAAACCTATTTATGTAAGGAAACAGTGTAGATAGAAACAAATAAGTTGACTGGATTTCACGTCACTATTGATGAGTAAGAATGAACTTACCAGGTGGGCTGTCTCTTCAGCAATATAATCCAACGTCGATATGCTTTGACACAAAACGACAGTCTGTTGATGGCTTCACTTGAACATATTCTCAAAACATTTTCAATAGAAAATCATTCTAGACTTCATTGATTTCTTAAATGGTTAAAAAGCTTAAAGTAACTAACTACTTTATCCAACCATTATTATTCTTATTTTCCCCTTGGATTCCTAGTGGAACATAAGGCTTCAGTAGCACGCCTTCATTTCACTCACTTCTCTGCAGTCTTCTCAACCTGCCTCAACTACTGTCCACAAGCTTTCATTTCTTCCCCAAACCATCACCTCCTCCATGTCACCGTCAGATGGGACGACCAACTCGTCGTTTCCCTTTGGATTCCACTCGTTGTGGTGGGGTCTATTGCGCCATGTCCCCAATCAGCCTTCTCAGTGTATGTTTAATCCAACTCCATTTTCTTGTGCATAGTTGTTGGGTGACACGTTGTGTGTTGGTTCGTCACCAGTAAGCCAGAGTGAGTTCTTTGTTGTGTATCCTTTCTGCACATCTGATCTCCATCTTCACTATCCAGTGAGCGTAGGCAGCTAGCTGTTCATGAATGTCTGTGGTTTGTTGCAAGTGCTTTCCGTGACATGCCAAGTCTCTCAACCATCACATAGAAGCACTGACTTGACTGAAGTAGTGTAGGAAATCCGGATCTTGTTCATGCTATATACTTAGTGCAGTGCAGTATATTTCCACAAGGATTTTAGATTAATGAAGGAAGGCCTGTGTTACTGTCTTTACGATGCTGGCTGGCTTTGACATCCTCGTCTGTGCCTGTGCCACCGCCTGTAGTTGAAACGATGCTGACTGGGCAGGTGCGAATGTCTAACACAGACTGACAGCCTAACAAACTATCCATAGACAATACACAATTCAATATATATTTCGATGCAATTACACTCTATAACACCTCTGATAATCATTCAATGAGCATATTCTCACTCAAATTATCCTCCATATATATTCACTTTACAATTCAATAATTCACAGAATCAATTTTCATTTTCTAATCATCATTCATTTGAATTACAGAAGTTGTCGATCCCTAAATCGTGAGCAACAATAAGAAAATCATGAAGATCAAAACATGATCCATCCTTCTTCTTCTTCTTCTTCTTCTTTTTATTAACCTACTAAAATATTAAAAGTTAATTTGTATAAGGAAAGGATGGAGAAATGTTTACAAAATATAAACTGGATAACATTTACTTGAACTTTTCACTTTCAACTATATGAAGCTGTACAAAGTGGATTCATTTATTACGATCTACAAATGTCAATATAATTTCCAATCAACAACACAACACAACACAACACAACACAACATCATTTCATCAAGGTTATTTATATTGGTTGATCAACCAATGGATAGATAGCAAGGTGAATAAGTAAGTATCCATGGTAGTGATTGATGTTGCTAAGGTTACCCTTTTCTTTCATTTGTCAACTTCACTGTCAGTCATCAGAGTGGAAATCAACTTCTCACTCTATTAACATTTTGAGTAATAACACTGATCAATGTGTTTGTATGTGTTTGTATGATGATAAAGGAACAGTTCACCTTTCACATGTGTATCACTTCACTCAAATCTTCAAGCTGATTTCAATCGAATTCACATGATGCTAAGCTCTTATACTGACAACAACAACAACAACAACTCAGTATATACGGGTATAAATTTTGAAAGCGAAATGTAACCTGTATCAAAAGTGATATCATTGACATTGTTAGGAGGAGAATATTTGAAAACACCAGATGTGGGTTTTTTGTTATTATCAAGATTACCTTATTCATTCAGTGAATTTACTCATGTAATCCACTGCCCTGTTGTTTATCTCACTTCAGCATGATGTTCCATACGATTTTCGAACCACTTGTCTGAAGCTTCAAGACTATTTCCCTTCAGAATAGATCGTCATCCTCTGGAATGTCGAGTAAAAGCACACAGTCATACTAGGAAACACCATTTATGTCGACCAGACATTTCAGTGAAACATTTCCTTTATATGATATGTGCTGCCACGTATGAGAATGTCAATGTCAAGCACCAGCTCGGTGCAAATTACTTAAATAATTATTCCTCAACCTCCTCTTGTTGACACCTGCAATCCATTGTGAAGTAGTCCACCTTGCCAGATTGTCATTTAAACAAATGAGGTATTGCCGCGAACCACCATAGTGTATCAAAACAGTCGGAGAACATGTGTGAAGTTAAGGCATGTTAGGAATGATGTGAATAGGTTTAGGAGTGTTGTGATGTAAGCACAGTTAACAATTATCCAAAAAGTGAGTGGTCACAAACCGTGATTGGTTGTTAAGCATAGACACAAGGTAGCTATACCGACCCTTGTGTCTTGAAGTTAACCTCTTTAGAATGAAGCGAACCACAACTGTCAGACATGTCGTTTTTGATGTTCCCCAATTACTAACATAGAACTTCGCCTTGGAATTGCTCATGGCTGCTTTTCAGGCAAATGGAAATGGTAGTTACGATCAGTTGGCGCTGACATCTGCCGCTCTAATGACCAGGT